AGGAGGAGGAGGAGGAGGAGGAGGAGGAGGAGGAGGAGGAGGAGGAGGAGGAGGAGTCTGAGCTGCACGCTCACTCCTGATTGGTCTACAACAACCTGAGGGAAAACTCCTGCAGGGGGCAGCTGAGAACCTGAGCAGGAGAACCCTGTCTGGAGTGATGATGTACTTCCTGTCAGTGTTGAGTGATCAGCCAATCAGACGCACTGACAGTGAAGACTTACAGCCCTGCAGTTCTCCCACCGTACACCGGGGGTGGCCACTGACAAACGCCGTCTTTGGTGACGAGGGGAGATCGCTGTCACTCCAGGTGCTCGTTGTCCCCCCCCCCCCGGGGGGGCGGGGGCGGGGGCGCCGCCCCCTTGACTTGCCACTCTGGACCCAGGACTTGAAGACAGGCGGGAGCAGAGGTGGGACAGAGCAGTCAAACAAACATGTGAGAGACATTCTGCCAAATGAATCATCGTCCCACGGAGACACTGACGTTGGTGGGAAGTGACAGACGACATGACAGGCTGGAGAGAGAGAGGGGATGAAAGGAGGGGGGGGGCGAACGACGGGGCCCAGGAAACACGGCTCACACACTTGGACACGTTCCCTCCTGCAAACACGGGTCAAACTGGACCGGACCTTTGGTACCGATCAGCACCCGAGAGGACACGTACGGCAGGGGGTCCAACATAAGGCTCCCGTTGTTTTGAATGGCCTGTTGGTGGGAGGATGAACACTGGAGCCTGGTCCTGCTGGTCCTCCTGGTCCCACTGGTCCTGCTGGTCCTCCTGGTCCTCCTGGTCCTGCTGGTCCTCCTGGTCCTCTTGGGTCTCCTGGTATTGCTGATCCTCCTGGTCCTCCTGGCACTGCTGGTCCTCCTGGTATTGCAGGTCCTCCTGGTCCTCCTGGTCCTCCTGGTACTGCTGGTCCTCCTGGTCCTCCTGGGCCTCCTGGTACTGCTGGTCCTCCTGGTCCTCCTGGGCCTCCTGGTACTGCTGGTCCTCCTGGTCCTCCTGGGCCTCCTGGTACTGCTGGTCCTCCTGGTCCTCTTGGGTCTCCTGGTACTGCTGGTCCTCCTGGTCCTCCTG